ATAAAATCATATTTAGCAGAACGATCACAATGTGTGTGTTTAGGTAACCATCACTCATCTTCATTGCCTGTCAGTAGAGGTGTCCCGCAGGGAAGTGTATTAGGGCCCCTTCTTTTCAATGTTTTTATAAATGATATTGTTAATATCAACAAGTTGGTAAAATTTATAATATATGCTGATGATGCCACGGTCTTGTTTTCCGGCGCAGATACAGATAGGTTGATAGAAAGTTGTAATCGTTTCTTTTGCAATATTACATCATGGTCACTATCAAATAAACTTAAAATTAACCCTAAGAAAACGAAGGTTATAATATTTAGAGCTAGAAATAAATTTCTGAACGTTAAACAAGATATTATTTGTGCAGATCAAAAAATAGATATTGTAGAAGAACACAAAATTCTCGGTGTAACATTTTCATCTCATCTAAGTTGGGACTCTCATGTAAGTCATTTATGCAAGAAACTTTCTTTTACAGCGGGAGCTCTGTCGCGTTGTCGAGAAATTCTCCCTACACAAATAAAAGTCAGCATATATCAAGCACTGTTTCAATCACATATAAGTTACTGCAGTCTGGTTTGGCTTACTACAACTCAACGCAACATAAACAGAATATTGGTTTTGCAGAAGAAAGCTGTCCGTCACATTGCCAACACTGGTTATTTATCACCGACATCGACATATTTTCGCAAGTACAGTATAATTAAAATCCAATATATGTATGAGTTCCGTATCCTACGATCATTTTACATATGTTCTTCTTCATTTAAACAATTTATCGAGTTAACTGCTGCACTGCAACGCAACAGTCATGCTATCAATACTCGTAATGTAGGAGGATGGCTCATACCGCGCTTTCGCACTGACTATAAACTGCAGTCATTGAAATATAACCTCCCATGCATTCTTAAAAAGCATAATCATTTACATAAACCTGCGCTAAATACATTACGTGAAATATTTCTGAATTACTAATGTATTTCAATTATTTGTTAATGTTGTACTACATTTCACTGTATATTGTTGTATATGATTAGCTATCATGCTTTCTATTATTATATTGTGTTGATATTAGTGTTTCGTGTAGTTTACTGCTAGAATTACAGGTGTACTATTGCTTGTACTATTACAGGTGTACTATTGACTGTGTTCCTTGTACTTGTAGTATTAAAAATTTCTTTTCTGTAATTAAATTTTGGTATTCTGTTGGTCTTGTTCGTTGTTAGAGATGTGTTTTAGTCAAAAAATCATTCCCTGTTACGCTTACACAGATATTGTTATATGCTTTGTTTTTGTAAATATTTTTGTACAATGTGTGATATATCTTGTAATTTGGTGCAAATATTTTTACCGGTCACTTGTTGCCATGTCATTGGTCTTCTGGGCCCTAGTCAAGCTGTTTCATTACAGCTTTTAGCCCAGGAGACCATCCAGAATGTAATGTTTTCGTTTATTCTGGAAATAAAAATAAAAGAAAAGAAAAAAAAGAAAAGAAATGGCTGAGGAAACTTCTTCATGTTTGATTAGCTGTGGAAGCCGAGACACAAGGTACTTCAGTGCTCGCACTTCCGATTCAACATTTGATGACTGCCAATTGAGGAGGCTAGCAGATTGAAGAACTCTATTGTCGAGTGGAAGCTTCTGAAGAAGATCCTTGGCACAGGCCAAGTAAAAAGCACGTGCTCCAAGATAAAACCGCTTCTTCTCACTAGAGTCCCACTCAAGCATTGATTTTTCAGTATCTGTACCAACTTCCGGCCTCGATTTCCAAAGGGATGCATCCATCACATCTAGCCTTTTCAGTTGTTCAGCGCTCTTGTCTGCAAAGGCTTCATGACGAAGAAACCGACTGAGGACTCGTTGGACTAGAACAATAAGTTCAACGTGAAGTATGTGCAAGAGCGGCTCTTGCTTTTGGAAGAGCCGCTGAAATCCACTGAAAAGCTGCGCACAGTTCTTAAGGAACAACACTTTGGCCAAAAGTTGTTTCTCAGAAAATGCCGACACAAGCTTGTTGTGTAGGCTTTGGGTGTCAGGTCGTTGACGAGATGAATTGCCCTTAAAAAAATAGGTGCGAAGTGCTTCAAACTGTTCCTCAACTCGGCAAAGTGAGTCTTGTAGCGTGGCGCAGAAACGTGGCGCCACGCTAGAAACGTGGGGCAGAAATTAGAAACGTGGCGCAGAAATACATGACAAGAGATTCCCAAAGTATCTTGGCATTCTCCGAGTGCTTCAGCGCGGACAGCACCTTTGAAGTAGTAGTAAATATTTCTCACTACTTCTACTACACCTAAGCCAAATGCATCCAGGCCTCTGCCAAATGCATTATGAACCTTATGAAGATTGCAGTTGCCAATATCAATCAAACTTGGTGCCACATGCTTCTGAAGCTTGTTTCTTACGCTCTTCATAACATTAGGGCCATCACTGAAGAAGCAAACAAGTCCTTGCTTTGGCAGATCTGCTATTGCTTCTTCTATGCAGCCAACAATTATTTCAGCGGTTGCACGCCCAAGATCAAATGACTGGACATGTTTAACAACAACTTCCTGTTGGCTGCTGGAAAAATAGCGTACCAGCACATCTAGTTGCTGCACCCTTAGCTCTGGCTTTGGCATCTCATCAATCAATAGACATTTGGCTGGCACAGCTCAGTCACCACTTGTCCTTTAAAGTAGGGACCCAGTCCATCTGATACAATGCGGGCCAACTTTATTCTGCCGCAACTAAACTTTTTGGCAATGTCACTGTCGGGGAACATGCAGTGATAAATCGAAGTTGCCCTGTCTCTCCATGAAAAAGGAATTCCCTTGGCCACAACAGACAAAGCAAAAGTAGTTTCTGCCTTGCTGACTTGGTGCTCAAGTGATGCATTAGCAGACCCTGTTGAAGAAGTCCAGTGTGCCTTGCACCAATTTGGGTGGTAGAAGATTCCCGTCCTTGTCTCTGTGTCTAGCAGCTGCACCAATATGTTTCTTCATCCCAGCATGACGCTTCACTGCTGCCGCTCCATGCTGTGCGCAAGAAATGGTGCAGTTGCAAAGAATACAAAATGCATCTGTACTTCGGGTTCCACTCTTGCACCACCGACTGATCGGATCATTATTGGAGTCCACCTCGTTGAGTACAGAGGCGTTGAAGTTGGTGTTGCAATCTGAAAACATGAGCGAAACGAACTTTATGACAGTAAATTTTCTCAAGTTCTTTTTTCATAGCGTGAATATAGGTAAAAGCAACAGGGTAGACAGAAAGAGCACTGACTTCTAACTTTATTTCACAGAGTGGCAAGAATATATATGCCTAAAAAGGATGATTAAAAACATGACAATATGCAAGCCTAGTCAATGCGTCAGTATAAAAAACTTGCAAATGTGACTACGCACCAACTAGCCCAAGGTTCCACTCTTGTAAATTTTCCCACGACAAAGGCACGCTAGTAAAAAGAGCACGTAACTACTAGATTTATTTTTTAAGGTAGCCCATAACATAATGCCAACCTTACTTCATTGGAAGATCTAAATACCAACTCTAAGGCGCCAACACCAAATATTTGCGCAAGCATTTTGGGTACAGCCTCAACAAATGGCGCGAATTGGAATGCCAGTTTGTCTGTCGACTATTCACACCTTAAACTCGCGACCAACTTACAGGAAGTTGCCATGCGGATGACGCGTGGGTCTGACGGCCGCAGACAAACGCATCGCCCCAGCTGGCAAGGCGGCATAAGGCGCTAATGTATGTTGGAGGTTTGCTTCCTTCCGGCGCGGCGCGCGATGACCAAAGCAGAAATGGACAGCAATGTTTTCCTTAAATTAAATATTTAAAAAAAGCTGATTGGGAACGGCACGTCACGAATAGCGGATTCCCAACGATCGGCGGCCGCTAATGCGGTAACATTGTGGTGCTTATTGACTTGCTTGTGTTGACATGGTCGACGCTCAATCACTCTTTTCTGACTATTCTACAAGCAGCTCGCACAGTGGGGCGCCCGATCCGTGACGCGCCGGCAGCACATACGGCCCCTCTAGTGATCTGCTAACGTCAACAAAAGTGACCCGCCTGCAGAAATTCGTAGTGTATTCCGCGTCACTCGCTCGTTCGTGTCGCACTATTATATGTTCCGAACGGTAGCATGTAGGAGGTGGAACTGCTGCATGCCGTACGAGCGATTGTGCGTTTCAAATGCGGATATTCCGCACCACGAAACAAGGCACGGCGCACCTTCCTAAGCCTACGTGCAGCGCTCGGACACCCCGAACACGAAAACCATCAGTAGCGAGAAATCGGAAGAACTATAGGCAAGTTGCAACTTCTGTACTGATTCAATAGCAAAGTGCGGCCGGTAATAAATGCCAGCAGCGCTACGCGATCGCCTAAGCATTCAACTAAAGTATTTCACGGGCGCTATTAAGAAATGCCACAAAATTTAAAAAGAAAGCGACTTACTTTTGTCCATTTCAACAGCGGGGGGATGACAAACATTCGCTGACTGGTTGTTCACAAGCACATGGCGCACATGCAACGACACGACGTGCTGTGAGCGCGAAAACCTACAAAAAACGCCCGAACGACACCGACGAATACCAAAGCTGCAAAGCACATGGTAAACGATTGCCAACCTAGAAAAGAATTCACTTGTTGCCAACTGCAAAATGAACATCCGCTAAAGTCGCGTTCTTTCGTGCAATTTGGCGCATTTGGCGCAAACAAAACAACACTTGCGCAGCAAGGCGCAGGAAGGTATATTGTAGCAAATTGGCCCAAATGGCGCAGCTGGATCACTACTGTTTGTTACACTGTTTTAGAGTTTGAATAAACTTTTTTTCTTATTGATTCGACAAATTCCTTGGCAGCAAGACAGCCGGAATTCATCAGGTATGTATATCAGTAACGCCAAAGCCTCGAGACAACGTCTCTGAAAAAATCAATTTTTTTTTTGACAATTTGTTGGTGCTAAAAAGTAGCTTGCCCCTTCTATATGAAAGGAAACTGCAACTGACCTGAAGGGCTGAGTTCTTGTTGAGTCGCTCGACCACGTACTGCAAAAAAAAGAAACAGGTCAGTAAGCACTCACGATGCGTTTTAAATGTTTCTTCAAAAGGCCCCTATACCACCAAGAGGTCAGAACTGTGTACCAGTCTACAACAAACATGTAGCCATGCGAACTATTTGAGACATTGCCGTAATAGTGGAGCTAACGAGGGAGGCGGCGATCAAGAAAACTTTTTGTTTGCTTACCTAGAATAATGAAATTTGGCAGGCATCCTGAAGAGTGCCCTGAATAGCCATACAGTTGAATCTCATTAATTTGAACATGCTTAAGTTGAACTTCCGGTTAATTCGAACTCATGCTGTGGTACCGTCAAAACCATGTGTATTTTAATGGGCAAAAACACCCCGTAATTTGAACGCGCAAGCCCTTGCGACGGTCAATTCGAACATACTGCACTCCAAAAATGCTCCCAGCGCTATGCCTAGTCCTGCGGCGGCACCTCCGACACCTCAATGCTGCGGCAGAATGGGCTGCGGCAGAATGTTTTCTCTCTCTCAAATGCCGATCTGTGACGCGCCTGTGCCACGCTTCTCTCTTTTCCATCCCTGCCACAAAGGGACCCTTCTCCTTTCAATGTCGCACTCTAAGAAAGATAGGAAAAGAAAATGGCCCCGTATCGGCATGTTAATCTGCAAAGGTCGTCGAAAGAGGATAGTCTTGCGTCTGGAGAGATTGAACAAAATGTTTATTTGATGTTCTGCGCAAGAAAATCGGTGAATGGTATTCGGGAGGCGCTGCGTTAGAGTGCCTCAAGCGTGCAGTGGAGGGGAACAAGCGCTCCAAATCATGTCACACGTGAGACATGAGCGCCATCTGGCAGTTATCTTAGAAAAAAAAAGGCGCAGCTCCGAGACGGGCGTGCGCGCCCGTTTTAGAGGTGATAAGGTGTAGAACGCAAGGCGACGGGTAGGTGCCACCACCGTGTCGTCATAGCAAAGCGTTGGAAACACTTCCCTTTTGATGCAAGCGTTGCATGGTCAGCGCCGCGTGATAAACGCTACGATCCTTAGAATAACTTATGTTGTATGCCTTTTCTACTAAAAGACTCACATACAGAATATATACGTGTTGTTATGGTGCCTCAGATATGCACGATAATTGCTCTTTTATTGACAATCAATCGCACAAGTATGAACGCTGAAGCTTGAGCAACATTGGTGGACACTGCAGATGAGGTCAGTTGTTTGGGTACTCGCTGGTGTCGTTTAAAGTGCCCAGTACCATTAAGGGTGGACAAACAGACAAATGGACAGACCAAAAATTTTGCATCGAAGGTCCTCAAGAAAGACTATCCTCTTTAAAAAGCTGTCGCGGATAGTTGGTTTTCTCTCTAACGCTGATCTGCGACGTGCCGGTGCCACGCTTCCCCCTTTTCTGTCCCTGCCCCATAGAGACCCTTAAGCTGCTGCAGAGTGTTGGTTCTCTCTCAAATGCCGATCTGCATCTCTCTGCGTGGAGACACTCCTCCTTTCTCGACACAAACTGGCCATGCTGCAGCTGTGGCGCAGACGGTAGCAGCGGATACGCAGTCGTCGTTTTTAGAGAGTGTCGGCGCTGGACGTTGCCACGCACAACTTCTTTTGCCAGGAGTATGCTGAAGCCGAAGTAGAAAGGCTTTGCAAGCTGCATGCGAAATTGACTCGGTGCAAGGCAAACGTGTGCAGACGCACATCACCAATTACTTCAATGGATGACGGATGTCCTGTGACTTGTTAATAAATGTAAGTCTTCTGAAACTTCTCCCTCGTGTATTAGCTCAATGCACATGCGCCACTGCATGTTGAGCCCTCCCTCCGTTCATTTAGCTTTCATAATTTGAACTTCTAACTCAAACGAACTTTCGGGCCCCTTCTGATGAGCGGTCTTTGAGTTTTAGCTTCTTTCAACACCACAACCAGCAAACAAAATCCATTCTGAAAATGAATTTTTCCCCACCATTTTGAGAAAACGTGCCTAGAAAGTTAAGCACTTGCGTTTTCATCGGAAAACTTCAGCAGAATAGCTAGAAGTGTTTTTTTGCAATTTTTTCTTCTTTTGCCTTATCTGTATCGTTTAGTGTCATTTGTAATTTATTTTTTGGTTTACAGCATCATGAAATTATTGGCTCCAACAATCTCAGAATCACTCAGGGCATTTGTGGCTGCAGCCACACTTGGATGAGTCCCACTCTCTCCTGGCGACAGCTGACAACACAGTTCAGCCGCTTCAAGTGCTACACAGTCAGCACTCACTGCAGAATAGCGGAATCTCAACGCTTGAACAAACTGCATAGAGCGCCTCCTCTGCATTGTTTTCGACTTCATTACCAGCATCCCGTACAACAACAAAGACGAAATACACAGAACTAGGGCAGAAAAAAATAAAGAAGAGAAAATGATGAAACAAGGCAAAAGACAGCTCAGCAGACCCCGGTCGAAGCAACAGCGGGGCAAGCGCACGCCATCGAAGGAAGTGACCGCCCCCCTAATGGGCAGCAGCCAGTGGCGGGCGCGTTTTCTCCTGCGAGATTTGAATGATCCATAATGTGTACTGCACAAAAAAACGGACGGAAACACAAAGTAGAGAAAAAGGACAGACAAGCGCAGGCTATCAACTGAAGCTTTATTGCAATACCGAGGCAATATATCAAGGAAAAATAAAAAGCAAGGAAGGGCAAAGGGGGAGGAGAAAAAGGCACAAGGGGCCAAATCAACAAAACCTGGGCAACATTAGGAAAGCATGCATGTCATGCAAAACCTAGATAGGCCAACTCCTTATCGTGTACGGTCACAGAAGGAACACTGCTGTTTGAATCTGACATCTTGCGAATATGCGCAGCCTCAATAAGCTCGCGCACTCTTTGGTTTTTATGGCGAAACAGCACAGAAGTGTAATCAAAGAGCAGCACGCAGCCGCATTCACGATAAGGAGTTGACCTATTTAGGTTTTGCATCACGTGTGTGCTTTCTTGGTGTTGCCCACATTTTGTTGATTTGGCCCCTTGTGCCTTTTTCTCCTCCCCGTTGCCCTCTCTTGCTTTTCAATCTTGCCATAATATATTGCTTCGGTATTGCAATAAAGCTTGAGCTAATAGTCTGCGCTTGTCTGTCCTTCTCTACTTCGTGTTTCTGTCTGTTTTTTGTGCAGTACACTTATGGGTCAGTACCAACTTGCCAAACTAGCCGTTCTTCTGAAATATGAATGTGCTGCTCTAGCCAATCAGTGCTACGCATTGCTTCGCGAAAAAACACCAATACCGTCTCGATCGTGCCACCGAAACCAATTTGCAAGACGGTAAACGAAAGATAGTGCAAGATGACTGCATAGTCTGGGAATGGTGCATGCGCAAGGTTAGGTTTGATTTCGGCATTTTTTGCGTGTTTTGGACAACGATGTGTACTCGAAAATAGTCTCTTTTTTTCAATTCTAGTCGTCTTTTTTTTTTTTTTTCAGCGAGAACAGATAAGAATAAGTTCCCTTTTGAGTGATCGTTTCAGAGCAAGGAACCTCCCATTTCACTTTACTCGGTTACTCGGAGAACTGCTCAGGCTCTTTTGAGTTTGAGACCTTGTGCGTAGTTCTCAGGCAGAGAGCAATAAGAAAAAATTATGTCGTAGGTATTACATTCATTGTGCATTTCAAGGACTTGAGAAAGTGGCATGTAGATGCAACATTAATGTAGCTTTTATGGCTGCCAATAAGCTCATACGATTTGTGCCACTAGGCTTGTGCGAAAAGTGAATTTATTGGCCCAAAGCTAATAGTCATATTGGTCCAATATTTTCAAACTGAATTCGAATAGTATACAGTCGAACGCCGCTATAACGAAACTGACGGGGCGCGGGAAAAATTTCGTTGAAGCAAAAATTTCGTTGTAGTCAAATCGAACGAAACATAGCTGATCTGAGCTAGCAAAAGAAAGGAACGTTTATTCTCAAAATTAAAAAAAAAACGTCCGCTGCTTCCTATTCTTTCCCAGCAGCGTCACGACGCGGTTCTCACCCATGCATAGCGATGATGATATATGTTGTTTAATGGCGCAAGGGCCATTGATGGCCAAAGAGTGCCAGGAAATGATATCAGATGAGAGCAATGGTTATGGTAAATGGCTGTAAAAGGGCCTAAAATTCTGCGCTCTAAAGATGCGTAAGACATATATTTATTAAAATCATGAAAGTGAAGTGAAGCATGCCTGGTGAGAATGAGTCTTTTGTTATCATGACATCATAAAATAGGAGCGTTATATTAGCACCGATTTCTCGCCAGGGCCCTTGGTCCCAAGGGCCGAGAGACAGGTGCTCTTTTGGATGTAGCATCCGCAGCAGCAGCCTCCTTTCGGAGGCCGTGCTACCGATCACTTTAGTAGATAACATGGAAGGTATTTACTTCCTTTAAGAATGCATTCAATGCATTATATTTAAAAAGAGGTTCGCGACCAATAAACATAGCTGGGTGAAGGGGTATGTGTTCCTTGTACGCTAGTAGAAAATGTTTTTTCCTGTAAGCCTCTAGCTCAGAGCATTCAAGGAGTATGTGAAGTACGGTAAGTGGACGGCCACATCTTTGACAGCTGGGTGGCTCACCACCGGACAAAAGGTGTGTGTGCGTGCTGTGTGTGTGTCCTATTCTAAGCCGACAGAGACTGACCTCTGTACGGCGTGTTTTCGACGTGGGTGGCCAGTTACCGAGGTATGGTTTAATCAAGTGTAACTTGTTATGAGTTTGTTGATCCCATAACTTCTGCCAGTAAGCCCTGAGCTTTTTCCGTATGTTTGGTTTTAGGTCCATTATAGGGACAGCAACTGAAGACTTGGCGGAGCTTCCGTTAATTGACGTGGCGAGCTGGTCGGCCAACACATTTCCTTCGATCTCGCGATGTCCTGGCACCCAGCACACGACGATATGTTGCTTGGAAGTATAGGCCGTGCAGGGTATTGAATAGAGGGATATAATTATAGGGTTTCTGTGTTTTTAAAGATTCTTCAACGCTTTTACGACATTCAGGGA